TCCAACAGTTATTAAACTACATTAACAAAATAGAAACCTGAACAGGTGCAATTCTCGGAGGTAACACAAGACCATCATTATCACTATGAATCATAACCATCGCACCAATTGTTCTTGTTGTCATGCCCCAACTATTTTGCCATGCAAATGTTTTTTTGCCAGTTTCCGGATCCTCGAACGAAATGTCAAACATTTTTGAGAAATTTTGACCAAGATGATGAGATGTGGCGCCCTGTAATCCAATAAGTTTCAATGATGATAGAGTCACTTAAAAACACATTTCATTTGAAATCAACAATTTATAACTCTTCATTTTGGAAAAGATCAAACTTACTGACAATCTAATTATTACATCATCAAGTGTCCAAGGTAAAAATTAGAAGAAATAATGAAAAATATGAAGGTCTGTGGAGTTTTCTAAGACAATATGAAAGATATAGAGAACTACATGATAACTGTCACCATTTGCAAAATATTCCAGATCAAACTTGATAACTGTTACCATTTTGCAAAGTATTCCATGACTTTCAAAAATTCACTTAGTTCTGAAGTTACACGAACCTGGATACCTCGCCCATTAATAGGAACATATGCTTCAACGGTAGTTGTAAAGTCACCACCAGCAAATTTTTCTTTTTCCGATTTTCGACCTTTTGTTACCGGTATAGCAAGCAAATCTGTGTAAACTTTCTCATATAAATCTAGGATTGCAAAAACTTCTTTTTCAGCTTCCTCCTTCGTCTGAAACGCTGTATGTCCCTCTTGCCATAAAAATTCACGTGTTCGTAAAAATGGCGTCGGATGATTGAATTCCCAACGCTAAAATGAAAGAATTCGTCTTCTCACATGGAAATTAGTGGAACTCATAACTTGACATCATTTAAATTCAAGTGAATCTGATAATCTTAAATTACCATGAATAACTACAAAAAAGTATTAAAACATGATTCCAGTTAATGTTTCAAGCTAAGTCATTCCATGACAAGTAATAAAATATTTGCTGAAAAAACAAAACAAGGGTAATTATCGTGAAGCTAAAGCGGATAGTGTCTAATGTCAATTTTAGCTAACTGTTTAAATCAGAATTAAAACATGAAATTTCAACAAAACAGTAGAAATCGGAGTAATAGCTTACTACAACATTGCACCATTGATTCAAACGAATGGGCAAATCACGGTAGGACTGAATCCATTTCGCATAACTAGGATATATTACCGTTTCACTTGTTGGACGTATAGCAATCGGTTCACTCAAATCAGAATTTCCAGCTCGCGTTACCCAAGCAACCTGCAAAATCTCTGCATGAATTAGCATGATAAAAAGATGATAATAGTGACCGTTTCCGATAAAAATGCTGCTGAGCTATTACTATAATCCCATTAGATCAACTAATTAACAAAATCACTGGTTTTATCTCTTTGAATACAATATTCTTTTTCCACTAATTTGGAACGAATTATACAAATATATCCCATATATTCCTTCTTACATTGTTATTACTATCCCATAATAATTGATTCAGATTAAATTTAGCACTGATGAAAAACCTCTGGAGCAAAATCAGCGATGTGTTCCTTTTCTTTTTGCAGAGCATTCTGTGAAACGAACATCGGAAAATAACAATTGCGTACACCAAGTTTCTTAATTTCTGTGTCGAACCATTTTTTTATTACCTCCCAAATAGCAAATGACCATGGACGCAGTATGTAACAACCTGACACATCGTAATATTCGATCATATCCGCCTTTGTTATGATCTAAATTTTAACATCGTATCATTGCTGACACATAATTTTTCTTAGCTTAAATCACTGTTTTTTGTATTTGATATTATATCGCAAGTTCACTCCACTGTAGCACTCCTTAAGGAAGCGTAACAAAAACTGAGATGATAAATCTCTCTCTCTTCTTTTGTTTATAGCAAAGAGATGTTTAGTGTGTCCTTGTTTATAGCAAAGACACACTAAACAACTAAGTTTTAAAAAACAACACTGTCAATATCGTATAAATGAGATAAATAAATCATAAAAATCATTGTAATTTCTAAAAGGTAGGCAATGCGAATCAATTCCATAGTAAAATAATTTCCTTCATTGAAAAAAAGAAACCTGCGAATACCACTCCGCTAAATTTTCATCCTTTTTAACATCAAGGCCCAGTTTTGTTTGTTTCATCGTCTCCATCGTCTTAATCGATGTTCCTGCCATTTTAGATTCGACTTCTTCTTTCTTTGTTTTTTTACCATTACCTTTTTGATTTCTTTCACTCGTAATTATTGCAACCTCAACAAAATAAAATATTAGTGTTTAAATATTCCACAACTAAAAAATCTGCGAGTGATTGGAGAAATATATTGGCAAATACATATAATTCATGCAGCTTCATTGAGCGATAAGAGCAGATAGAAGTAAATTGTTGCATTTTTTTAAGAAGGATAAATCTAATAGGGAATGCATCAGAGAAAAGAAATCATATGTATCAAAGAAACGTCACTGAAAAATGATAGAGAAATGTTTTTGGAGATCCGGGTACATGGTCAAAGTTCAACACACCACAACAACTTATTGGAGAGAAATGCAGATATTTTCTTCTGAAAGCAAAAGTAGAAATTTTTCAAATCAGCTAATGAAGTGAAAGTTAATTAATTGAAATATAAAAGTCACTCAGAATATAAGGTGTTGGAAAAATTTGCTGCGAAAGCCGTCCTTTCTTGCTGCACCAAAGAAAATAGTTACTAATTCATTCTTTTTTATAGCGAGATAATGTAATTGTTGGATAGAACACACAGAAAGTTTATTCTAAAGCATTCAACATATGAAAAACGAATCGTAAGAATGAGAGTGTGAACAAATTTCACATCCAACAAAAATGTCCTAATCAATTTTTTAATATAAAGACAAATAATTTAAGAATGAAAGATAATCACATAGGGGTAAGCCTAACATTCACGATCAAATCAACTGTTTGTAGACTGAATGAGAATTATCTTTAACATATAACTAATGAAATCAGAAAGAATAAAATTCCTCCACAAGGCATTAAACAAGACAAATGCAATAATAGTTCTTCCAAGCCTAAAAATATTGGATAAGAAATTCTTCGTTATACCTTCGGAATAGAAGTATTCGTGTCAGCAGTATTCGCTACATATTCCTCACCAAATTCATCCTTATACTGTTTCTTCAATTTCAGTAATTCCGCTATCGCATCCTTCGTTCCTTGCTACAAGAAGAAATTCAAAATTATTAAACTCTTCCTTTTAACCAAACATTTAAATACATTATGACAATTCGCGATTGCATTTTTTTTTTGTATTGGAAGGAGCAGAGAACTGCTATATAAATGCAGAATCCGCCATATAAACCAGAAATAAATGAGAATTCGAATTATGGCTTCATCTTAGCATCGTGGGTTTCGCATATCTTGAAAATTAGTATCAATTGACAAGTTCCACACAGAAATTTGCTGAAACTATTGCAGAAAATAATCGATAAACAAATAGAACGCACCGCTTTTGCATCTTTTGTTTTCAAACACCTCACTAAATCGCCTTGTTGAGCTATTTTTCTCGCAAATGTTTCTTTACATTTTGTGCTATCACTTCTCGGTTTATCACATGATGCAAAAGGTACGATTTCCGGTCTATATTCCGTCCCTGTCATTTCCTTATACTTCTGTTTCAAATCCAAAAGCTTCGCTATCGCTGTCTTCGTTTCTTCGTTTTTTGGATTCACAGCTTTCAATGCACGAACTACATTGCCTATAATTAAATTTCAGACTCAGAAACTCAAAAAATAACAAGGGCATCAATGCTAGAAGTAAACAATGTTGAATAGAGTAATTTATAAATACAGTAGTGCCAGTTTACAAAGTGTGTGCAAGTTAATTTGACTTAAACATTTGAAAGCAAATTCCAGTTGCTAAGCAAGCACTGAGCGAAATCTAAAAAATGTGTGGAATTCATATAAATGATGATCCTTCATATACATTTCGAAAAGAATCAGTTGCAATTTATGATAAGCTGCAAAAAATAGGGCTTGTAAAAAATTTGCAAAACTGTGAAATTTTTAAAAGAAATTTAGCAGGCACATTCGTTTATTGAAGAACATCAACGACGAAACAATTACCTTACCTGATTTTGACCTTCACAAAATTCGGTGAGATTGAAAAAAAATAAAGCAGCAAAATAATAACTGATTTCAACAATACCTTGTTGCTCAATCTGCTTGTACAATTCTTCTATACTTTTCCGCTCCGCCGTCAATTGCTCTTGTTCTTGTGACGAAATTGTTGATCTCGGCTTATATTCCAAACCAGTACTTTCCTTGTACTGTTTTTTAAGATCCAATAGATATGATATAGCAGCTTTAGTTTCATTACTTTTAGGATCAGCAGCTTTCAAAGACCGAACAAGATTTCCTTGTTCTTCGATCCTCTGATACAAGTCTTTGGCACTTTCTGATGAGGGTAGTTTGCCTGCTTTGCTATCCGCAGTGGATAATTTTTGATAAACTTCTTTCAAATTCAGAAGAATAGCAATTGCTTCCTTAGTTTTTACACCTTTTGGGTCTGCTGCTTTCAAGGATCTCACCAAATCACCTTGCTCCTTGATCTGTTGACTAAGCTTAAGTATGTCCACTTCGCCTGGAAAAAATTACTGCATAAAACACAAAAGACGGATAAACATCAAAGCGGCTAATAATCACAAGCAAAAAGATTTCTTTAAATGCATAGACATATTTTAGAACATTCAGACCTCTCATATCTCAAATTTTTTAAATCTATCAAATAAAATGTTTTTAAAAGGTAAATTGAAAAACTACATTTAAAACTGACCTGTTGATGCATTTTTATTTATATGAATTTCACCGTTTGTTGTCCTCGATTCTAAGGTAGAAGAAAACTCCTTTGTAGCCTGAAATATTCCAGAAAAATATTAATTGGTATCAAACATTAATATAACGTGTGCTCTGCAATTAAAGATGGTATTCCCGAACAATAAATCTAGGGCAGTTTTCATTTCTGCTTATTTTGCTCTCCAAATATTCCATTTCGTTTTATAGACATTTCATTTACCGTTTGAATTGATTTAACAGGTTTATTACTGCCATCTGGTATCAGAATCAAAATGATAGGCACTTCGAATCCAGAATATGCGCTTTTTGATGTGTAGGCTAAATCACATATATAGTATCCTTTACGTTGCAACTGGATAATATCACCTTTACGTATTTCTTTCATTGCAGGCTCACCGATGAAGTCGAGATATTTCTGAAAGTTATATCTTGACAACTAAACCATTCACATTTAAACGTGATAATTTTATTAATTTTGCTTCGTATCAAATAAATTTTTTAATCCAGCGCTCTCAAAAGCAAACTTTATACTTGATGTTTGAACCATTTCATTCATTCATTAAATATATAAATGATATTAATGAAAAATTACTCGCGATATTGAATACGACATACCATAGAATTATAATTAACGAACTGCTTCCAGTCTTCATCTTTCCCAATAATAGCCTTACTGATAATGTGAGAATATTCAATTATTTTTACTGGAATTTGTGGTCCTTGCTTTGTGTCAGCAATCCACGTTACTTTTAATGTCTTCTTGTAATCCTGAACAACCATTTAACATTTACATGATTATATTAAATCTGCTGGATTTCAAAAACAAAATTCAAGACTAAACTTAAAAATTACTTCAATTCAGGAGTTACATCAAATATCTCAAAAGTGATGAAAATTTCATCATATTTTGAGTATCTCATATTTCAACAATAACAGACCGACAATAATATTCCTAGGGATGCATGCAAGCATATTTCTTGAAACGATCAATTATCGACCATTGGAAAGCGCCAATTACCCACTAATTAAGTATTTGATTACTTAAAAACAGATAAAACTGCAACAAACCTTATTTTCTAAATCAAGCTTTGCTCTGATTTCTGTTATCTTATCACCATCTTTCAATATGTCGCAAATTTTTACATTTCCCCAATTAATAAATGTCACTGAATCACCAATTTTCATTTCTCGTGCATCAACTTCTTCCACTAGCATCTTTTTACTATACCAAACAATTTTTGTTCCAACTTCAGCATTCTGAAATAAGATTTTCGAACAAATGACAAAATAAAAAAAAAATGATGATGAGCTATGAAAAATTATTACTTTATTTTGAAAGATTACTTCGTCAAAACTCTCTTTCGAACACCCTAATAATTTCTACAAAAAATAAAATTGCACGATATACGATTCTATAATAAGCACTAAAAGACAGTTTGAGATAGGTAAGATGTGAAAATGACATTCTTTCATAAATCAATATAATAGAAAAAAACCAAATTGAAACTCTAATAATCAATAAAGTAAACCTTCGGATGTAATGACACTTTCTTTGATTCTTCAACCAAGTTATCCATAACCGTTACTTGAACAAGGTTTTCTGCACAAGCAAGAGCAGTATAACGAGGAGCAACTGGATCAATCACCTAAAAATCAATGCAAGATGTTAGCTCATTTTTCCATCAAAGAAAAAGTTGACTACAAGAATTTCTATCGTTCCATGAAAAAAAGTGCTGCAAAAACAGCAAGTTTTTAAATCAAAAAAAATATTAAGACATGTACATCTGTGCTAAATTATCAAACTCTCATGTAAAAATACACAAATTTCTACAATAAACAAACTTTTTTATTAAAGGACCAGATTTTATCCCATTCCATCATAACAATGGCACGGCTACTACCTTGAGCAACAATAAACTGCTTCAAGCCTTCAACCGTTAATCCGCGTCGCATCACACCTCGCACAGTTGGCAGTCGTGGATCATCCCTTTTGTAACAATGGACATTTCAATTCACATGGGAATAACTTTCCAAAAAGTAGAAAAACAGAAAAAAAAACAATCAAGAGCGGAAATAATTATGAATGAAGAGAAAGAAAGTCGATAAATGAAGTTATATAATGGTAAAAAAGAAAAGCGTAGTAAGCTTACTGAATCATTAGCAAAAATTTAAATCAATCCCTAGACTAAAACAAAAGAACATCGCTTTAGCTGAACTTGTCAGCTTTGTAAAATGCAGATGCCCAATCATTTAATAGCACTACTAAATGACAAACAGTCTAGCAATTTTTTGCAAAAATTAGAAAGCATGTCAGAGTTTGACTTATAAGTGATACCCAGTAAGTTTTGAGAACTCTGTACAATAAGAATCCTTACCATCCGTCCACATAATGTTCATCGACAAGCCATGTAAGTTTTCGCTTGCTCATCACCGTATTTGTCATATTTAATCGAGCATATGACCAAATATATGGTTTTCTTAATCCTAATACATCACAAATAAAATAGTACTGCTCATCGCGATCTGTGTACTCTGTAGTACGAAGAGCATGTGTGACACCTTCAATACTGTCCACTATAGGACATGCAAAATCGTATGTCGGATAAACTCTGTAAAAAGAAATCATAGCTGGCTGAATTTCTTGTACAAAAAATCACTGGAAAAAATCCTACCTTTCTGGACTTTGTTGACGGCAAAAGTGTTAATAAGAATACTTCCGTCGCATGAATACGCGACTACATATTAATTCTCAAAATATACAACGCTACTAAATCAATGACGATAATAGTAGCTATAATATTGCAATAACTAACTTATATTTGTTTCCAGTTCGAATATGCGTTTCCGCTCTACAGCGATAAATTGTTGGATCACGCATTGCGCCGTTGTTGTTTTGCATGTCAATTTTGATTCGAACACAACATTTTTGTCCTTTTATAGTCGCTTTTTTCATTTCTTCCCATAGCGCCAAATTTTGCTCCGGAGCTTTAAAATTTAAATTAAAAAAATCTCATAACCTATATCTGTGATTTTTTTTCCTGAGTTTTAGAGCATGAAACTGTAATGTAAAGCTTAATGTAAAATGTAATGTAAAACAAAGTTTGGCGTCATTTTTCATCATACAAAGTGGATTTGTAGTATTAAAATATATAAATATGTGAAGGATGTTTAAATCAGGAAGTTAAAGTCCTCCTTATAAGTATTTTAGCACCAATTTATGACTTTTTTTCCGAACTGCAGTTAATTTATTGGCGACTAAATCAAATTACTGATAAAGTCAATCCGATAATTTTATGTAAAATAATAAATTATTAAACAAACAGGCTTACTATTGTTACGGCACCGGCTTTCCTTACGTTCTTCGCGTTCCTTTCTCATCAACTCAGCGTCCGTATCATCAACATATGCTTTTCCCTCTTGTAACAAACGTTCACACATTTCTAATATCAAGTCAAAATGATCAGATGTGTGCGTCCACCTATCCGGCTTCACTTCCAACATTTTTAGATCATCCAAAATCACCTAAAACAACGTTTGGTAGTTCCTTTTGTACTGCAATGTTTGATAATGTGATTTATGTATGTCATCCAATATAATATCCCAATTGACAGTATATTTCCGACTTATACCTATGCAGTTTCAGTTTGCTAATAATGAATTTTCTGCTCAAAGCCTTTTCATGTATAACGAATGAAAAGAATTTTCTACAGTTTTAAAGCACTGAAACTGAATTAATTAAAATTCAAATGAAATTATTTTCAGTCAAAGGACAATCAAAATTACTGTATAATATCATATCACCTGCTCAAAATGTGCATTCTCTTTAGCTGGATTCGTATCATCAAATCGCATAATCAATTTTCCTTCAAAAGTTTGCTGATAATACTGATTTAAAAGAGCTGCTTTAGCATGTCCGATGTGTAAATACCTGAAAAAAAGAAAAAAATGCGATGTGATTTTCCGAAACGTTTTTCATAAATATGTGGCTTTTTATCATCTATAATAGGGATGAAATTACTCACCCACTAGCTTCAGGTGGAAACCGAACTACCACTTTTCCTTTTTCTGCACCTGGCAATTCTATAAATTTACCCTCATCCTTTATTTGCTCTTTCACTTTCTTCTCCTCAGCACTTTTCGCTGTCCTATTTTGGCCTTCAGTAGTCGTCATGATTTTCTGAAACTTTTAACAGTATAAGTAATTCGTTTTCAGTTCCCTACAGTGAATGTCTACATCCTATAACTAACAAAAAAACTGGAGATGATATCGACAAAAGTACGAAGCTAATCATTGTTTCAGTAAAGAGAAGCCTGCGAAATTATATGCCAATGTCAAAAGAGACTTATGATTATTTTACTTCTAACAAGCTTATTCCACTTTTTAAAGAGTAAAAAGAAATTAAGTAAAAATACTGTACTCACCGATTCCATATTCCTCCTTTCTAACTTTTCTGGATCCCCTACTTGAAATCTGCCAACAAAATTATGCGCATCAGCAAATAAGGGATCGTGTAGCATATTTTCGAAAAAACATGAAAAATGTTTTTGTTGCTGAATCTGCAAACTTTTCTGTTCTCTTTTTTAAAAGCTTGTAAGGAAACAATTATAAATACATTTCCATTCTCAAAAATCAATTAAAATGATCGACTTAAATAACAAACACTGTAGTTAAAAGCAATAAATTACTACATATCTACGAAAAAAAGCATACAAAATTTTCAAAAGAACATATTAAAATATACACATTTTCCTTATATACAATTTTTTTTTTAATGACACAAAATACAGAACTAATACCTTAGCATCTGCAGCTATAACAGTCCATAACATAATATCCGCAAGCGTACGTCGATTTAGGCACAAATATAGACTAGTTTTTAATTTTTCTTCAGCTAATTTCATCAAATCTTTTAAGCTACCATGCTGTAAGTACTGCTCGACCATTGTCACCCAAAAATCAACCTAAGTAAAAAATTGGTAAAAAATATACTGTACAATCTTTATGACCCAATTCCATCACTCAGAGGACTTTTATCAGCAATTTAATTTGGGAAAATAAATAAGAACATCCATGAAACAATGATAATAATTCGTTAATATTAAATATTAAAAAAGGCCAAAAACAAAATGCAGAATGAATTATAAACAGAAAACAAAAAATATACTTTAAAAAATCGAAATTAGTCGTTAGTTGTCAGAAACGAGATTTTAAAGTTCTAGAAAAAAATACCAGCTATATGACATTGTTTTTATATAACACAAAAAAATGATTTACCTGAACTTGCTCAATAATATCCCTACCAAATAAATCACCCGCTTTATCAGAACTGCGTACTATGAAACGTGCAATAGAAGCGTCATTTGTATATTTCACCCCATCTCTAAAAAAAAAAACAGTATGATGATGACAGAGAGAAAAGTTATGAATTATCATAATTATACTCATAAACCAGTTTTAATGTTTATTCTAGACATTACGAATGTTGTCATGAGTACAGATACAGAAATCCCCCTACAGATTCATCAACTGTATGAATATATGAATATTCAAGAAAAAGAACGACGAACTTTCAAATAAATGACTCTTTAATTCCTTAGTGTTTTACTGATAATAATATATAAAACTGATAATGACACATAAATATGCCGTGAAAATTTTTTGTGTCCATAAGAACAATGTAAAATTTAGCAGTCCAAAACATGGCTAAAAATCATTTAAAATTTTAGTTCTCAAATTAGAAATTCCAATGCTAACAGATGAATACTCAAGTATATTTGAACTTACAGTATCATTTCATTACGCATTTCGTCAGTGAAAATCGCCGATTTTTCGATGTCGAAATCAAGTGCAGAAAGAGCAAGAACTGTTCCATAAGCTGGGTTCCTACGTGAAATGTTGAATGTAATTATCTTTTGTTCAGCTGACACCAGGGATGCATCAGTGGCAACCATTTCACCAAATCTAACTAGTAAATACATTAGTTACGCATTATACCGTCTACCGCCTCATTATATCCATGCATCACATGCATTATATTGTTAATTCTCGTTCAAAATGAAATGACACCAATAAACTTCTCGAGGAACAACACAAATTTCTTCCAGTCAGACTAGAATATCAAAAAATATTATGAAATCCATCCAAACAACGCATAAAATGAGAATAAATTAATGCAAATGAAATGCAACTGTAAAAGCAATATCATTGATCATGGAAAACTTTATACATCCACATCGAAATAAAAGAAGTTACAAAAAACCAAGAAAAGTTGTATAAAAAAGAATTATTTCAAAGTTATTTTTCGCGATCTTTCTGTTGTTTCCGCAAAACTGCACCTGGAGCAGGATAAGGTCGTTGCTGAAATAGAGGACCACTAGCCGTAACATCAGCACCTGTTTTATCGTGGGCATGTAAGCCAGAACTCCATGTACCACTGAAAATATTTTTTTGGAAAAAAGAAATGCATAAATAAAAATATGGAAAAAACAGTTTAAATTTAATGCATACGTAAAACTGTTCTTATGTTTGTAAGACAAAAAAACCATCCCACAACAATTACTAATTAGCTTCTTTATTTCTTTTAACAATTGTACTAATTAGCTTCTTTATTTCTCTAATTGGTGGGCTCCATATTCTAGCAGTTCAATGATTTTCCAAGTACTCATCCCACATGCATATACTAATAATCAGTTTCTATAATAGGCCGCCAAATCACATAAAATACCACTCGTTATTGAGCTATATTTAAAGACTACTACAGTTCCTTACTAAAAATCCAGATCTGTACTGAAAAGTAATAGGAAATAGCAAAATGATGCATTTTGGTGAATTGATATTCATCAAAATATTCCTTTTATTTTTTTTAAGTTAGCGACAAGAGAATTTGCAACTTTAAAAAATACATACACAGGAACGTTATCGCCATAAGCAGCTGGGTCCATTGGATCAATTCCTTTTCGTTTGGCACGCTCTGGAAAACACACAAATACTTACACAAAAAATCCAAATTAAAGCTTAGTAATTTACAGTTTATTAATATGATTTAAATTGATATTTTGTGTAGTCAATGCAAACCATAAATTTCATTAGCACATATAATTTTTCTTTTGCTTCAAATTTCAATGTGTTAAGTCATGTTAAGTCAATGTATAATAGGCTCCCAAATATAATTGGCAACGTGTATTGCTAATTACTTTCACTAAAATTATTGAATCATACTGGAAATTATAAATAAACATATTTATTTCTGAAACAAAACTAATGGAAGTTCTTACTCAGTTTGTCTCTATCATTCAATTCAGGCCTGCTTTCGTCATCACTTTCGGAAGCTGATAAACGATCGCTAGCTTCAGAATCTGATAAAGAACCTCGTCGCTAAAATGAAAGTAAATTATCATTAAAAGGTTACTTTCTGCGCTTTGTTTTTCGTTAAAAGAGAGTAGTGACTCATCATAACAACTATACTTCAGTGTTACCAAATTCCAACCTTTCTCCTCGATCTATTTTCATCACGCCGCTTGATTGTACCACCTCGATCTTCCCTATAAATTTCTTTTCCCTCATCATTCCTTTTTTCATCATCATCTTTTCTACTTTCGCCAAGACCATTAGTATTTTCGCCTTTTTCAAATAATTCTGAAAAAGTGACTATAATGCGTTTCAAAACCAAGCAAGAAAACTGTTGAATTAGTTAATTTATATAATTTGCTGAGATTAAGTCAAGTCAAATAGCGCTAAATGAATCAAAATTAAATTGAATCAAATGCAAACCTCTTGCAACTTTCGGCGCAGCATCACCAATTACAGCCAGAGGATGTCTAGGAGGAAGCCAAGATACTTCATCAGTTCGTGGACACCAGTAATAATGACGTGTGCAACCAGGATCGTAAACTTCTTTCCAACCTCCAAAATAGATTCTCGAAAAAAAACCAACGTGGACCAAAAAAAAAAATACGCAGAAAATGAATTTAAATATTATTATTATATACTTACCATTAGGCAATGGATATTTCTTCAAGATTTTAGCTCGTTGATCAAGGTATTTCTGCGAAAGTCTAAAAAATGGAAATTTGTAAATATTTTTATAATACAATCACTTCTTTCACATGAAAAGATTTTTTACTGCATTCAAATGTTATCACATAAACAAATTAATTGAGAGACTTGGTAAAACGAGAAAATATGAGAAAAATGTTTCCTTTATGATTTGAATTCTAATGAAACGTTTCTGTTCCTTCAAAATCTTACCTATCGCAGTATATCCAATCTCCCAGTGAATATCGTTTTTATTCTAACCATTATTAAAACATCAGAAAAGTGACACTTAAAGAAGCAGATCCAGAGAAAATAACAACCTATTTTCATTTGTCCCATCTTTCCAATGATCATAACAAAATTGTACGCAATAATGATATGGATTCCATTTATTCGGACATCCTCGAGCCCCTGAAGTATTCTTTTCCGTCTTTTGACGTGTATTGCTTTGTGCTCCAGCAGGTGTTTCTGCATCATAATTCTCGGCGATCACTTCTTCAGCAGCATCTGCAAATTATCATTTACAGCTATATTATTTTTCATCGGCTCCATACAATTTTTACGCACTTTACATATGAAATCGCATTCAATTCCCACATTTCAGCAACATCTGTAAGCAGAAAAAAAGAATTTGTCCGTGATTTTGTATCATGAAGAACCAGCGCAGATGGCTTTAGTTTTACTTTTTTTAACTTGTCATGTGAATTATCAAAATTCTATATCTGTTTTACATCATGAATAAGTATATAACTTTGTACAAAGAATATACTGAAGGAATTCACTGATAAACTTAATGTAATTTCAACTAAATTACAAACCTTCATGTATAATTCCGCGTCGTTTAAGTCGAGCTAGAAGTGCCGGTGGTAAAGGCATTACAGTAATTAGAGATTTCGTTCACGTTAATCTAAAATTACAATGGACAAATTATTATAGCAATAAATTGCTGATGTTGTAAATAAATGCCATGCAATCAAACGTGATTGCAACATGACTGTACAAGCGCAGATGAATTGGCATTCCCAATTGATAACCCAACTTTACATGATAAAGAAGAAACGCAAACAATACAACAAAGGTAACGGAACGGTTAATGCCGACTAACCGATGGCTGAACGTCCAATGTCGGCTAACCGGTGACGGAACGTCTAACACCGACTAACCAGCGACGAGACGTTCAATGCCGGTTAATGGATGACGGAGCGTCTGACGCCGGCTAACCGTAAAATACAGCCGAACCTCATGTGCAATGCGGAGCGTAGTGCTGTTTACGAGGGTTGAAATGTAGCCGCGATGTTGTTGATAAACTTTTTGGCTATCGAATGAAGGTGAAAGGTCAAGTTTACAGATGATTCTAAACAATCATATGAAAATACCGCTTCTGGAGAGTCTGGAATAAGAGATTACGTCATTTAGGGGAGTTTTGAAATTTGAATTATTTCCCTGTAATATTCAGAATTTGACGTGGTCATGTCAAATTCATACTCGTACTTGGTTTGCATGTAATATCAAGAAAATTTTTCTCGATTTCTAGATTGCAACAGTATTTCTGATCATTTAGCAGATTCAATTTTAATTGATTCCAAAACCCACTCCAACCGATAATTAATCCGATTTGCAAACTTGCAAACTTCTCCGGATAAGTACATTTAGTATATTTGCTACTGTTAACTTTATTAAAATTTTTAGATAACGCTTTGTAAATGCACCAAAATTCATCTTAATTTCGCACAGGAATGTAAAAATTGATATCGTATTAAAAGAAATAGCAAATATTTATTGATCAATCTCTAAATTTCAGAAAATACACATGTAAAAAATAATACAAAATGAAATATTTCACACAGGATATCATTCATTGAAAATTTTCAATTCACT